CATCCTAATATTTATATATTTTTATATATATTTTAATTGGACCATCCTGACTTTATTTTGCTTTCTTGTCGCTAGTAGCCCTAACTAGAGAACAAGATATAGCCTACATCTTCAAGATCTTGAGAGCAAGTGGTTTTGACGAAACAATTTTTTCGATTTACATAATAAGCTTCTTCATTTCAACATTGTATTTTTTAAATTAATTTTTTGCTAATGTAATTAAATTGAAATTGATTGACGCAAAATTAGTAGGTACTTCTAAGCGTCTAGGCTAAAAACGAAAAGGGCTAGACCCGAAGAAAGAACTTTTGGGAGTAGGTAGGTAGAGCATTTAAGAACATCCAAGCTATTTTTACTCAGGAATTGCTTGATATACGATAAATGAATTACAATATTTAGAGGAGTTGCCAATCGTAAATCCTTTGTATGATTTTAGATAATACTGGGGTAGTCTTGGTCTTCGTCTTGGTTTTAGTCTTGCTCTAACTCATCACTAGGTAAAACATAATAGATTTGTACAATAACTGTATATTGTAACGGCATATTTGTAATAGACTTGGATGCATTGTTTTCAATTGAGATAAGATTTTTGAGTTCTACAAAAAAAAATTTTAAGTAATGAAAGATTATTGTCAGATCGGAAAATGATTGGCGACGTACTTGAACGCGATAAAACAAATGTGGAAAAATTGAATGATATTGCTGAATTTTTCCACTAACAGAAGGATTGGTTTATCCCACTTGGACCTGAATTTATTCGATTAATAGTCAAGATTCCTGAATTGAGAAACGTCTGACAACGTTTTTGCTATCGAAAATCACGTGACAGAAAATTTCAATATATTAGATAAATTCTTAAATTTCTGAAAAATTCAAAACTTTTGCTGTAGTGAAATGATATGTGGCTACCCTCCTCCTTCCCCTTTTCTCATTCCCTTTCACTCCACACATGGGTTCAATCTCTTTCGCCGGCCCTGAACCGGCTAAATCCAGACATGTTTTAATTATGCATATAATGAGGTTTAATTATTCACAGAATTATTTTCATTTACATTTTCTTGATTGGATTGTTTTGTTTTTTTTATGGAATTATAATAGTTTATTTTGAAGCAAAATTATTTATTTTTGTATTTTTCAACTAATTAACTTTTGTTTTATAGTGCTAAAATTGCGTTTACAGTAATGTCGTACATCATTATTTCTATTTAGCTACTGTAGCGTGCTGGTTACACTTTTCTAAAATGTTACCAAGTTTTACGATTTATTAACGACAAATTTAAAAGATAAATAAGACAGATGCAACGAATTTCGAAATGAGAATTATAATTAATTTTTAGGGTAAATAAGTTTTTTTATTGTAAAAACTACCACCGACGTTTCACCTTAGCTGTATGACTTTTCAAGGCTATAAATAATGTATTCAGAAACTGACTATAATCTAAATTGTTAAATACTTGCTGAGTTTTTAAAGTTAATACTTTGACACAATAAAGTAATAAATAATTTAAAATATTATACAATGACATTAATATTCTATTGCATAATTAAAACAGTTTAAAGTGACAATTTTGACAATAGGAATTATGGAAAGCAATGATTCGTTTTTTGAATTCTTAAACAAAAACAACATTATTAAATTTGATTAACTGTTTCGAGAAAATAATAGAGAAAATTCCAATCAATATTCAATCCAATATCCACATATATTTTTTATAACAACATAACTTTTTGGAAGGTCTTACAGTTTTTGATTTCATTCATACAGTCTGATTTTTGAATTCGCACAAGAAGATCGCATTTAACTATGCTTTTATCTATATCTATTTAGATAACTATACACTTAGAAGTACTTTCTTATCGTAACTTTACCTATGCATGTGTATATACCTGTAGATTTTGTCAATCAAAGATTATTTTTAATCTTTAAATCGTATTTAGATCTCGTGCTAAGTATTTCTCTGACAATGGAAAAAAATTATTTTGTCGTTACTGTACCATTTTTTGTCGTACCGATAAAACCGTTTTTAATTGGAGAAACATATGATCGATGATTCTACGTATTATATTAATTAATTTTTACACTTTGGATCTCCTATCTTACCATTTCAAATTAATTTTGAATTAAATTAATTACGTAGCAGATGTAAATTTTGATGTCTTGTAAATATTTGTCTGTCTGAGATGACATGCTGGTATAAACGTAGTAGTAATAATAGCTCTACAACACACAATTTTGTTATCTTTGAGTATAAAAGAATTGTACAATATTTTTAAACATTTAATGGATACAATTTTATATGACTATTATTTACTACTACGTTGTTTCCGATGTTTTCAAAGGCATTGACATAGCTTCTTTACATACAAATATTTTAGGGAAAAACATGAACTAGGCACTTGTTTATCATTTTGATGTAATGTACAGTAATTTAGTTTTGATTTTTTACTTGATGGAGTAGGTAGGTAATTTTGGGATGTGTAACTTACAATAAGAAAAACAGAAATAACTGTTACAATGTCATCATAAACATCAAATTAACTAGTTTTTGGGTGCTTGATTACGTTTATTCCAAACTGGAATTTCTCCATTTCCTATAACTCGAGTTTTAGCTGTAACTCGAGATTCGAGTGCGGGTTTTCTTTAATTCGAATTTTTATTAATTTTCTTCGAAAAAATCAGTCGCAGCGATAATCAATAGCTCACTTTTTAATCTGAAATATTATTACCAAAAATTTTCACATTAGCGCTGGGATTAACAATAGCCGTGGGCTTAATAATAGCAATAAGGTCAAAAATTAAAAGGTATGACGGTAAAGCACTCAATTTTCGTAACTAGAATTTACTAAAATGTATTTAGAACGTAACCGGTTCGAATTAGACTGTTTTATACTTTTTACTCCAAAAGAAATATCAGCTATATCGCTTTATTAATTACAAATCTTTATGTAGGTACATATCGAAATACTCTGCAAAATAAATCATGTTGTAGGTATCATGAATGTAAAGAGTATCTCCTTCATCAATATTTAAACGACGAATACTGTTGAGGTTGAAACTGGCTGTCCGTGTTAAAATTCGTATCAAATTGTTCCCAGTTATTCCCGTATTTTATTGAGGTGTCTGAATTTTTAACACTCCTCCCGTCATACTTGTCGTATCCCAAAACATGGCGGGACTCTTTGGCATTCGGCGGTACTACACTGGGCTCCCACTGGTCAGGTTCTTGTATTGTAAGGGCCAAAGTTTGAAGCAGAAGAAAAACCAAGCAGATAGCTATCATCTTAAAAAGAAAAAGAAATTTATTTGATGTAACTGTTTGCTTCCAGATTTTCTAGCCGTCGCTGTTAATGTTATCAATCCTCAACGTATTAACAAAGAAGACATTTTAAAGACTTCTTTTACAGTTAATGTAAAAATATTTATTATACGTAGATGTTGTTAATTATGTAAATGTTGATGAAGATAAAATATAAGATGAATACAGTAATAAAAAAACTGTTTTTTTTTAACAACCAAAAAATATTGTAAATAAATTTCGTTTATAATTAATGAGCTTATTTCTTTCTTTTTAATTTTGTTTTACGTTTTCTAATCATAAAATTTTGTGAAGCCAGGAGTTAAATTAAGATGAATAGATACCTACACATTATTTGTACTTAAATAGAAATCTTACCAAGAAGTTCTTCATCTTGAAAGGTGGATTACAAACTTTTCATTTGTTGTACGCGTCTTATACCTTTTATAAGAATAATTTATAGTCATTGAATAGCTCATAAATCTGAAATAACAGCCAGACAACGGACTCTATTGTATTAGGTAATTTAGAAACGTAATTTTAGTCCAAAGAAAAATTCTTAAGGCAGCCGAAGTGACCTTAACCTTTCGGTAGCGTAATGTATTGATATAAAAAAAACTAATGCGCGTGTGATATAACTGTTTTTAGCTACAGGTATAATACACAGTCACATGATGCATCTGCTAAAGCCTTGCTATTATTCTGTCATTATTTGTCAGCATTCCGGAAAAAAAGGCTGCTTATATTTTCTATTTTTATACACAAGTTGGATAACAGTGAATATATGAAACTCAATAAACATATACAGGGTGGTAGAAAGTTACACATGTATATCACCTGGTTTCTTTCTTCAGATCATTTTCCGACCTAGTGCGAGCGTTCCGTTCAAATCAGAAAATAGGTCTTGAGAGACAGACAAACACACGGACAGCGAAGTAATTCTATAAGGGTTCTTTTTTCTCTTTTGAGGTAAGAACCCTAAACATTAGCACCGTGAAAATATCGAAACGATATGAAGATTTTTAACTGGGCTGGCGAAAAATGGGTTTAAAATGGATAAATTCCGTAAATGATGAAACACAAAAAAATAGGTAGGTAGGTAGGTATTAGAGTATGTTTGATCAGTATTCCGGAACGTTTAAAAGGTAACATCCGTATTTCGTGATAGCGCACAATGTAGGGGGTGCAAAATACCTCAGTTAATGAATTGTCAATGATTGAAAACATTCGCATTAGGTTGACGGTCGCGTTATCTTATTCCTTTTGTTATCGCAAGCATCACGTAACGAAACACATGCACCTACTCGTAACCTTCGTAGCAGCTGGTACGCAGACAGGACAATTTCACATGATTTACACCGACCCCGCGTTACACAATTCCGCTAGGTAAACTTGGTCATCATTGCCGGAGCAGTTAGGGCTTTCGGTAGTCATTACCCTCATGTTTATGTATATCACTAAGTGTCGCGAGATGATTCACTCTGTTTCTCTTTTTGTACCTTCTTTTAGCTTAATGTTTCCGGAATACTGATCAGACATAGTGTACACAGTATGTGTTTATGTATAAATTTACTGATACGTACATGTTTTTTTTTTAATTTAAATGAATCTATAAAAATGTAATTATTACTTTCTGAACAGTTAAAGGATTCATCTATACTGTATGTTTACAATGCCTAATTTCCCGCACAAATCGTTTTGTTTTGTTGAAAGAGCTGTTATTGTTGGTGTTTCTCAATCGTGAATGAATTTATAACTAATTACAGGCTATTGCAATTTATATTGCAGTCATAAATATTCAATGAAAACGCTATTGAATGAGGTAATTTTGAGACAAAGCAGTAAATCTACCGATGATGAAGCTACAAGGTGTTTCTGTTGAGATTTTCTTTTTCGTGCAGTTTTTCGTTCCAATGCGAAGTTAAAAGCATACAAATGGAAGTTTAAGGAGCATTCAAATATTACGTAAGCAGGCGAAAGAATAAATGGGTTCGGTATTTTTTATTTTTGCTGACAGAAAGAGCGAGGAGGAGAACAAAACTTACGCAAGATAAGAACTATAAAAAATTTTTAATTTGTTTGAAATAATCATTAACCATATTTCTTATTGGTACACTATTTAGATATATCAGCTCTTTCATATTAACTATGAACAGCAGTTGAATGGAATATTCTATATTACTTTCGGAAACTTCCCGTCATTTCTTTTTATCGTACCAGTTTTGTATTATCGTATGGTCTAGGAGAGCAGGAAATTATAAATAGGGGGGGGGGGTTGAGGTCTAAAATCAATTCGGTTCCCAACCAGCCACTAGTGTATAGGTAATCTTTATTTATAATTTGATGTTTCTTTTTGAGCTCATTATTAACTATAGGTATTTATACTGAAGGTTAATAGTTCGTATTACACTAACATAAATGTATAAAAATAAAAGGCAATTAAAGAAAAAAACGCACATACCTATCTGGTGTAATAGTTGTGTCATCTTGCATTTTTAATAAATAAATAAATAAATAATAGATACC